CTTGTTTATATATCAGATACACAGGACATTACATCGTAATTGATCGGTTTTGAGGAAAGAAAATCATATTTTAGATTTGTTATTCCCAAAAGACGTCGCTGCAGTCTGTCCTTAAAATAAAATCGAACGAACTAAGTCATTGGTCCCACGGTAGCGTGTTGACTTATGATCTCTGACAATGTACACATTTTGAAGAGGTGGTAGGTTACATAAACATGAAGATGGCGGTTGACTGTTTTAAGTCTTTAATTTCCAAAAGGAAATTAACCTCTAATCAATTAAATCCTATTGAATCATTCGTATATTATTTGAAATATATTATTTTTAATAGCATTAGTTCCATTATGCATTAATTTAAATTCCTTAGAATGATGAGGTTATAAAATACACACAGAACTCAATTTATTTACAGGACAAAACAATGAACCCTTCTTTTAGAGTTTCCTTTCTCTGAGAAGATCAAAGGTTAACACACAGAAGGTAAAGTCTGATGAAGAATTAATAAGTATATTAATCTTTTTTAAATTCTTTGTATTTCATATATAATACTAAGAACTGGTGCACTTATGGGCAACTGTAAAATGTGAAAAAATAAAGAATCAAATAAAGCAAATTTTTTCATCTCAAATCATTAATTGATATCTAAACCATACAATTCCACAAATTTTACCACTGAAATTCATGAATATACAAAGAGTAAAGCCATACAATGTGGTACGTATGTGATTTTCTACAGTGAGTTTTACCCAAGTAAACATTCCAATCGCATCATATCGAATCTTTCCGTCAGAGGTCGGAAAAACGACCTCGAATGTATTAACATCACCGGACGTTAAAAATTTATACATTTCCTGTTTATTCAAATATAGGATAGACTGACTTAGAAGTCCCTTCTGTGGTATATTTTATGTACTGTCATTACATTAAATAAAGTTAAACTCCATATTCAACAGTAAAGTTTCACGTTACGTCACGATCTAGTTGACAGCTGCGCTCAAGGTAAATTGTACACGCCTCCTAACCGCAAGCTTTACGACTGAAACTTTCTTCTTATCCCTGATTGGGTGCTCGTGCAACAGACTTTTTCCGTGTCAATGTTATAATTTGAGTTGACCAATCACGTGAATTGTTTACGCTGGATGCATCTGACGAAAAAGATCGTGACGTAACGTGAAACTTTACAGTAGCTGCAAACTATAATATTATCAATAATGTAACTCTTTTGTCTCTATAAGCTGTTTTTAAAAATATCGTTTTCGAAAAAGCTGTTTTTAAAAACAGCTCATAGAGAGAAAAGAGTTACATTATTGATTATATATATTGCATATTGGAATTAAAAAATAGGGAAAAGGTCTTTTGTCTCTATAAGCTGTTTTTAAAAATATCGTTTTCGAAAAAGCTGTTTTTAAAAACAGCTCATAGAGAGAAAAGAGTTACATTATTGATTATATATATTGCATATTGGAATTAAAAAATAGGGAAAAGGTGACTCGACCCCCGATTTAAAAAGAAAACAAAAAGGGAAAGGGGGGGGTTCCATACCCCAAGTGCCTGTGGAGTTTTCTAGTTAATTTGTCCTACTGGTGTAGGCTTCTCTGAATCAAGTGGTTATCAAATAAATCTGAAATTAAAGCGTACAGTTCAGTATTAGTATGGAATTTTAATTGGGGAAAGATACAATGAAATGAAAAATAATGGTTTTATACTCTTAAATACATTATTACTCTAATAATGTCCGTTATTTTATACAACGCCTAACCTTCAACAACGCAATCTGATTCCGGTTAATGATGTTTTTGTTTAAATTAAAAGTAAAGTTCCAATCCTTATTGATGGGGCACATGCACTGGGATCCTTAGATCTGCAATTAAGAAGCTTCTGTCCAGACTATTACGTGAGCAACTGCCATAAGTGGTTCTGTTGTCCCAAAGGGAGTGCCTTTATGTACGTCAAGGAAGAGCGACAACAACAAACCAGACCGCTTGTTATTTCCCATGGATTTGGGTCAGGCTTCAACTCAGAATTCATTTGGACAGGTAAAATTCAACCGCTGAAGGATTTAGGAGAACCGATAAAGTGTATGTCTTGCTTCTGATTTCCCTGATTTCCTCATGCTAACAAGAATCTTAAGAGTGTAGTTATTGCCTGCATCTCATGATCAAACGGCAACCTCAACTCCACTCCCTCCACGATAAGACTGAATATGTATATAAATCCAATGGATTTCCAGGCAATAGTTTTCGATTAAAACATAACCTTTTTTTGAGAAGGTCAGGGTCACGCACTTGTTCATTGTTTAAAACTGTTTCGAAATAATACTTACAAATGAATTCCCTTTCCTCTTTTATCAAAAGTAAATAGCGTAAATACTCTCCTTGATTATTTACAGGAAACAATACAAAGTGAGTTTACACTCGTTATAATGTACACCTCATTTTTTTTTAAGCCATATATGGCGTATGTACAATGAAAATTATTAGACTAAAATTATAAGAACTTATTATTTGTATCATTAGTTTATATAAAGATAGAACTTTTCCGTAAATTACAAAATCTAAGTCAATTGCGTTATAAAGATATCACAATTTAATTTGTATTCTCGGAATTTTCTCCGACTCGGAAGAAAATACAAAAGATTTAAGTAACACATTACAGAGAAGATAAAATCGTATTATTAGTTGAAACGAGGTGTTCTCCGTGTTCAGAATTGTATGAAAAGCTTTAATTTAAATGTATTAACTATATTTCTTTACTTAATTTTGTATTTTTCAAATATATATTTTTTGATCAGTTACGCCATATATGGCTTTAAGTTTCTATGGTTGCTCTTTGGTATTTTATTCTGCTCGGAATAAGCAGTTCAAAGTAAATTTCAAAGTTAAAGTAATCTGTAAATTTCCTACACTTTATGATAAGGCCTTATAGATACCATTAACACAAATCGGACAATATATTTTTATTTCAATAGTGAATATTTAGCGGTTTTAACATTTTTTCAGCATTTAATTAAAATGAATTCAAAATTTACCCAGGGTTACCACATAGATAAACATTTTAAATTGTGTCTTTATAACTTTAAGAATATCGGTTTTTGTCAGAATGATTTGCATAATTTTCTTTGTCATAATTAAAGCTCAGTGAAGAATTAAAGAAGCTTAAAATCTCAATTTTTCAAAAATTCTCCGTCGGCGGTTACGTTTCATTTGAAATTTATTTCTAGTGTCAAGTTTTAAAATGAGCAGTTTCATAAAAATTTATGCTTTTCTTACAAAAAAGCAATTACAGAGAAAACTAGTAGCTGTAGCATTACTTGAGAATGCTGTTGTCAGCGTTTCTGTCTAAAAAACAAGTACCGGTATATTTCTATGAACAGTATTGCTTTGCTACTAAATACATGTATAGAAAATTCTGTGAAGTTCTATTAAAATATTTAATCTGATGATACACAACACAATGATACATTGAAAATAAGTCAAGATTCAGTGACGCCGCTTTATTTTTAAAGAGCGCTATGCAGTCATATTTCAGCAATCATGTCGTATTGTTTAGGTTTACATGACTATAGTCCCTATTTGGCTATTCATGTTATGATTAATTTCTGGGAGGCTGCTGGCAAAGAAAAGATTCTTAATTATATGCATCATCTCCGCAAAGAAGCATGTAAGTAAACTACTAGTATGTATTGATGAGTGGAAATATTTTTAGATCATTAAAAATGGTTCAGACATAAGTATCAGACTGAAGTTTTTTGTTTTTACTATATAACTTTATGATCAAAACAATTTTTATCCTTCTCTCTAGCCGATGTTTTAATGAAGAAATGGGGAACAAAGTTACCTGTACCCGATGAATTATTAGGTATTGTAAAATTAAGTAGAATTAATAATTTTGAAACTTAGAAAAATATTGCAGCTTTATTTGTGTTTATTTGTAGGTAGTATGTGCCTTGTGCAGCTTCCTCCAGCCTTATATGAAGATTATCAAGACGTGGAATATTCGCTAGCTGAACGGATTCAGAACACTTTATATCATAAGTATAGCATCGAGGTTAGAGATTTTGCTTTTATAACAATATTAAGAATAGAAAAAAATGGCTGACTTTCAAAATCATTTACCCGTCAGAAACATTTGTTTCATCTTGAAGCAAAGCATAAACGATGAAAAAACTCTTTCCACTTGCTGTCCTAATTTGAAAGGTTTAATGTGTTCCGTATCATAAAAAAAATGTTGCTTTCTCTAGATGCATACATATGAATGAAAATAAATGCCAAAGAATATTCGACTATCATTCAAATAATGCATTTGAATGATGGACTAAGGAAAATGGTTTTTTGACATAACTATTTTAAACACAAGAAGCATTTGAACATTTTGTAGGTTGGCAAGTTTGTGCTCTGTTTTCTGAAATAAAATGTACTATAAATTGATGAAATTTGCATGTGAAAGAGATATTTTGTAAATAAGACATTTCATGACCTTCCTTTGACCATAATGTACCCATTAACTAAGAACCAATACTATTTTTTAAGACAAATAACTAAAAGTAAGTGCTGACGAACTATTGCATTGGTTCTGGAGACACCACAAACCACTGTTCTTTATTGTCATCTTATTATTAGTACATGTATACAATGACCCCCCCCCCCAAAAAAAAAAGAAATACGAAAATATAAAGGTCCTTTTCTAGACTCATTTGAAATTTCCAACTACATGTATAATGAAAATACTTTTTCTATTGATTTACAATGCTAGACACATGAAGTACATTCTTCAATTGTTGAATCCCAATATAAATCTTCTTGTTTGAAAAGAAATTCTCTTTAATATTGTTTTCCGAAAATCTGGGAAAGAGCAGTAGTACAATAGTATCAGTTGCATGAACACGTAAAATTACTTTTCACACAAACCGCGGTCTTTCTCAACATTTCAAATCTTATTAACACTAGTTTGATAACAGGATTACTGTTAATTAAACATGACAGAACATCTCCATCCATTATTGAAATACCGGTACATCTGTTTAACACCTGATAAGAAATCTTACCTGTAAAAAGATAGAACAGGAAAGGAAAATGAGAGTACTATTATTATTTGGTGGTCCTGCCAAAGTATAGACAAAGGACAAAAGTAAAGTTAAACGAGTACAATATTTTAATCTGTATCTGAATAAAAAGTACCGTATAAGTAAAATTTTTAATTTTGGCATTATTAGCGAGGGTGTCAAGATCGCTAAAATTAAATATCGCTAAAAATTAATTGCATTTTATTTGTAATTGCTTCTTACATATGCATTTTAAAATCGCTAAAATAACATCTCGCTAAAAATAAATTACCAGTTTTTAAGGACAAATCACTAAATTTGCGTCTCGCTAAAATTTCCACTTATACGGTTATTTTAAATGCGGTTGTACTTATCACGTATTAGAAATTCTAGGTGCCAAATAAGAGTATAAGCATTTCCTGTCAACTGGTCACGTCACACCCGCAGCGAGCAAGGTGTACTGATCAGCTGGACAGAACATGTCATAATTAAATTAAGTATAGAAAAAGACATAGACCTAACAATAAGTATGACACACGCCAGCCGAAATACGACAAATGGGTAGGTTATACCGCATAAGTGGACATTTTAGCGAGACGCAAATAAAGCGATTTGTCCTTAAAATTGGGTATTTCTTTTTAGCAAGAAGTAATTTTAGCGATTTTAAAATGCTCACTAAAGAAGCTCTTACAAGTAAAACACAATTATGATATTATAATTATTAGCGTATCTCGGCGCTCTCGCTTATAGTGCCAAAAGTAAATCCTCGCTAAAAATTCTGCTTACACGATGTTTGCAATTAAAATCATGTAATAAATGTAAAATTTGAACGATAGCGCTGAAATCTCTGTAACATCAACTGATATGTCTGTAGCCTGCCTTATAATGATGGATTTTCTAGTGATTTTCTGTTCCGATCATTACAAGGAGCACAGCGGGTGAGACCGACCCACTCCTTAATGGTGACTATGTTACAAACACGTGTACAATCTTATTTATTTTTTATGCAATAAAATTTATGAATATGTTGTATTACCGTGGGGTTACAACTGCGACGGTCCCATTATGGATTTTACCAGAAAAAATAAAAATGGGGCACCGAAAACTTTAAAACTTCTCTTGAGCCTTAATCGATCTCACAAAATTGGTTAAAACACCTGTCGAATTCTTAAAGATCTGTGTTTGATTTGCTCCTAAATTGTATTGTTTTAAAAGACAATGTACCTTGAATACCGTTGGTTATCGACATTTTCTATTCACAGGTTCCGATAAAGGCAGTTCAGGGGAAACTCTACGTTAGGATTTCAACTCATATATACAACTTTATTTCTGAATATCTGAAACTTGGAAATGCAATACTTGAAATAAAATCATCTTGAAATACAGAATGTATTTAATTATTTAATGTATATAATTATTCGAGATTTGTGAAATCGAAAACTTAATGATGCTGGCTTTGAAAGGAGACCCATGAACAAATAATTTATCCCTACCGATACCCTGATAGAACCAGTATAAATACAGTCGGATCCTATTTTTATTATCATGTTTAAATTTTATCATTTCAACCCGTAAGATCTAGGTTGACATTTTGTTATTGTGACTACTGGTATATTTTCAAGAGCACCTGATTATAATGTTTTGATATGACAGCTTTCCCATCTTTTTAAGTACATAGTTATAATAAACAAGAAAGCCTCTTCAAAAATTGTGAAATGCATGGCCCTAGGGTCAGGGGTTCTGGTGTTAGGGCGGGGCTATATAGATCATATTGTGAAAGTGCATTATTTCTTTGAAAAATCTTCTCTACTCCAGGGTAATATTATAGTTTGCAACTAAGTGTAAAGTTTCACGTTATGTCACGATCTTTTTCGTCAGATGCATCCAGCGTAAACTATTCACGTGATTGGTCAACTAAAATTATCAACATTTACACGGAAATAGTATGTTGCACGAGCAACCAATCAGGGATAAGAAGAAAGTTCCAGTCATAAAGCTTGCGGTTAGGAGGTGTGTACAATTTACCTTGAGCGCAGCTGTCAACTAGATCGTAACGTAACGTGAAACTTTACACTTAGCTGCAAACTATATAAACAAACTAAGTACATAGTTATGATGAGCAGGATTGCCTTTTCAAAAATTGTGAAATTCATGGCCCCAGGGTCAGGGGTTCTGATGTTAGGGTGGGGCTCTTTTAATTATAGAGTGAAAATGCATTAATTCTTTGATTTTTTTTTCTCTGCTCCTGGGTATTTAACAAACTCACGAAATACAATGTACATAGTAATGATCACCAAGAGTGCCTTTTTCATTTCTTTTTGGAATTGGTGGCCCCTGGGTCATGGGTTCTGGTGTAAGGGGCGGGTGTCTATTGATTACACGTATATAATTTCCCCCCTAAAATTAGGGTGTTGCGTTTTTTGTTTTTTTTTGAGTGTCAGTATATATTCGTACAAAATGGTTTACGATCGCGTTTCGACCTACATTCATGTATTTATAGGGGAAATAAAGTTGTTTATGAATAGAGATTGGAATTTCGGTAGTTATTTATAAAATTTTTAATAAAGTGAAATTTCATGTGTCACGTGATTTTATTGTCGTCTGCTACGTAAACAAATCTGAACCGGTGGAAACAAGATTGGGCGAAAAGGGAAGGAGTTAAGCAACGAGGTACAAGAAATCGCTTGGAAATTATTACAAGAGGGAAACACTATCAGTTATGTATCAGAAACATTGGATGTGTCCAGGACTACAATCGCTTCGAGGTTTTATAGAAAACATCCCGAGACGAGGCAGGAAACCTGTCGTGACAGCTCGAGACTATCGAAAGCTAGAAAGGATCGTAAAAACCAACAGAAGAAAGAGTTTACAGCAAATTCAATTAAAATAAAGAACGGCCAGTATCTAAACGAACAGTACAATTACATCTGCATAAACACGGATTCGTGAGACGGGTTGCAAAGAAAAAACTGGTAATTCGAGATGTTAATAGGAGAAAGCGTTTATATTGGTTTCGACAAAGGAGAAAACTCACTCTTGGAAACTTCTGGAGAAAAGTTATATTCTAAGATGAATCCATATTGTTGTGGGACAAGACTCTTACGTGTATATATTTGGAAGAAACGGGGGGAAGGTTGGAGGCCGGATTTGGTAGAGGCGCGCAAAACAAAACCATGTTACCAAGTTATGATATGGGAATGTATCACATGGCATAGAGTCGGCACTAATTCTGAAGTGGATGGAAATATAATTGCTGAAAAGTATCAGAAAATGTTGGACGACAATTTGTGTTCAGTTTTAGCCCGTCATTTTCCGACTGGAAATTATATTTTCCAAGACGATAATGCTCCTGTACACCGTGCACGTTAACGCAGGATTTATTTGCACAGGAACGGGATTACAACAATGAGCTGGCCAGCACTTTGAGTAACTTTGGGCTAGACTTAAATATAATTGAAAATTTCTGTGCTCCTTATTAAAATAAAGCTTGATCGAATATGAGAATTGAACAAAGAGGTCCTCTTCCGTGAAATCCAGTGCATCTGGAAGACATAACATTAAGTAATGTCAAAAGCCTGTTCAATTAATTTTTCTGAGTTAATATGCTTAAAAGGTCACCTTACAAAGTATAGGTAAGTTATTTCTGATTTATTGAATTTCTAATCAAATAAGAGTAATAACTTATGCTCACCTTTACTTAAATCATTAAAAAGCCGCCATTATTTGTAGAATATATATTGCAGTATAATGTTAATTGAAGCTTATTCAGGTGTAACATTGTTCTAAGTGCCATTTTCTGGTGTGCAATACACTTTATAAAAATCACCGATACGGTAGCCTAGTGGTAGTGTTCTATATACACAAAAGGGTTCCATTACATTAAATTCTACACAAAAGTTCGCGGCGCTGGTCAAAAGGAGAATTCTTACAATGAAGCGCATTGAAGTGGTAAAATTTTCTGCTTGGATGAAAAGTTTTGAGCTATCTTGTAGACACGCCCATTTCTTTAGAAAAGAAAAATCTGTCAAATGATTCAATCGAATACCTGTAGAACAGGTATATAACATCCAATGAAATTGACGGTTTATATAAACACCGATAACGTGTTCGACTGATACATGTGTTATGGTAACACCAATAAACATGATAAAATCATAACTATGTACAAAATCGTTGCAATGTGTGTTTTCCATAAGCGGAAACTCTATAATAGCTCTTTCTTAAAAATCTTCATTCTACATAGGCGGGAACACTATATATTTCATTTGAAAATCTTCATTTTAGCGTAACTCTTGTTGCTTGTTGCGGAAAGTGTAGTGTCTAAAACATTACGACGAATATTCCTTTCTCATTTCTAAAGAAATGGGCGTGTCGTTATGTTATAATTGACGTTCAAAACATGACTCAGAACGTTTCATCCAAATGGAAAATTTTACCACTTCAATGCGCTTCATTGTAACTCTACCTGAAATAACAGGGTCAATTGAATGGGGGAACAGACTACATTCATTATTTTTAATATTGTGCACTCTTACGCTCCCTATATAAATATATATATGTAAGACTCCAAGGTCCGATGGTGACGCCAAAGTCCGATGGTCTCGCCAAACCCCGATGGTCTGCGCCAAACCCCGATGGTTCGTTGTCTTTCCGGACGCCAATGTCCGATGGTCACGCCAAAGTCCGATGGCTCGTTTCCTATGAGACGCGCGACGCTAAAGTGCGATGGTCTGACACGCCAAAGTCCGATGGTGCGGAGGAACAATTAACATTTATGACGTCACAATAGTCCGACGTCATGACGTTATTCTGCATTCAAATAAATTGATTCAGTATTCGTCTCACATACTTATTTACGGATATTGCTTTTTGTTTTCACCCACCAGAGGTATTAGGGTTAGTCCTCGTACACCATTCGAGTGATAAGGGTTAGTCCTTGAACACTGAGGTGTTTCTTCGAACCCCACCCGAGAGATTTTAGGGTTAGTCCTCGCACACTATTGGACTGATTTAGATTAGTCCTGCACCCACCTATGATGTCAAGGTTAGAGTTGATACTCTTTGTTCCACTGACAAGTCTTAGTTTCGCACCTACATCCAAAAGACGAGGGTTAGTCCTAGTATTTATGATATTTTGTATTTATTTATTGGCATGCCGAGGCATCGAATTCTTACGCAGTATTACTACGACGTCATAGACGTTAATTGTTTTCTGTGCCATCGGACTTTGGCGTGTCAAACCATCGGGGTTTGGCGCAGATCATCGGACTTTGGCGTGACCATCGGACTTTGGAGTCCCATCGCACTTTGGAGTCCTACATATATATTTTCAAGTAAATGAAACAATAACTTATCTCATTTGTGTTACTAACACGAAGACGAACGGCCGAGTATAAAAATTTAATCAGGTTAGAGCTAAGAAGAAGGGTAAATTTTACTTTTTATTTTAATAAAATTTTTTACTTATATGTAATAAAATGGTGTCCACAACTATATAGTAAATAAGTTTAACATTAGTGCTAAAATTTAAAATCACTGGATTCTACTGACTTGCGTATAAACAGTTATATACCTCGGACCTGCTCTAAACAAGTTTCAGCAACGAGTTGTCGTTCTTAACAACGAACCCTAGCGGCAGTTGTTAGGCCTATAGTATAAGTCTAACCCAGACCTAGCCCTGGCGACAGAACGTCATTTCACAATCCAGTTTTTGTTTGCAAAACTCATTACTGTAGATCACTGAATTTTTGCGACATCTTATTTTCGCGAGATAGTCATCGAGACTCTTGATTAGCGAGGCAAAATTTTCACGAATTGTGGTTATTGCTCTATATTATCTTAAGGAATGCTATTATACGAGAGAATTAAATTTTCTCGAGCACACTTGTCTCGCGTAATTACGCAAAAAAAGATCTCGCGAATAAAAAGTGATTTACAGTATTATTATATCTGTATTTTAGAAGAATATAATTTTAATTCTACTTTTGGATACCTGCTTTTGCTCGTAGTTCACTTTCTATATATGAAATTCTTCAAAATTATATTTCAGTATATAAAACACTCAATCAAGTTGAGTTGCTCTACCCTATCAATACTTGGTCTCTAAACTTCATAAAAATCCTTATTGCAAGGTTAAAAGCCACTATCCTTACAAATATATTAACTGTTGTTTAAGGAGAATCATCAGACACACTGTTCTATAGCTATAAGTGATGTAATGCAGAAATTCATTCTCAAAATTTCCTAAGAAGTTTAAGACATTTTAAGACATTTTAGAACTGACATTTTTTTCAGAAGTCGTGAAGTCGTTAACATCAAAACGAACGACTTTTCTACACTTAACACAACTATTTCTTGCGATTAATTAAAATTAAAAACTATGCTTT